CGAAGAAATGAGCGAGCTGGCAGAGTCGATTGAAATGGCTACTCTGGACAAAGAAATGGCCGAGGAAAAATTGGAGACAATTAATTTGGAATTGGAGACTCTGAAGGAGCGTGTCGAAGAGCTGACACTAGAGAACCAGATTTTGAAGGACGAACAGGAGCAAACGTCAGGTAAGGCGGGTGCAAAAAACTCCGGTCGTGCCTTTCTGAATCTCAGTCTGAGTCCTGAATTCGCAAACATTTCATCTTTTCTTTTCAGCTACCCCTAGTGGTGATGGGGCCCCAACCACTGCGCAGGTTAAACAGCTGGAGCAACAAAACGAGCGCCTGAAAATGGGTCTGGTTCAATTTCGGAACCTTGCTAACCAGGATAAAGAGGAGATAACTTCATTGACCAAGGAGGTGAGTATTTCCGAACTCGCAGTACTTACGCCGCGCCGTTTGCCCCAAAAAATTCGTCTGTCTGTAAAAGTAGAACAACATTTTCGGTTGTATATTTTTATTTCGAAAAGCCCTAGACCTATACTTATCCGAGCCTTCCAATTCAAAGAAAAATTCTTACTTAAAAAGTTTTTGTGTGAAACTTTTCTGCCAGAGCCAATCTCATTAACTCAAACTTGGCCCCTTGAAACAGTCAATAATGACAGGGATTAGCATTTAAGAAAGGGATTCTCACATGCGTCTTGCCCTTTTGCCTCTTCTTATCAGTGCTGTCTTTTACTTGATTATTATGTGACTTTGGTGATCCTTTTACTGACGATGACTACAGTTGCTGGGTGTATTGATGTGTCAGTGCACTTATTAAGTACGATACCCAGTGTTATTCACAAAACAATATTTGACTTGCAGTTTGGATTTTAGACCTAAACTGCTGCTCATTCTAGTTAGGGTATTGACTCACCTCTGTAGGGGCTCACCATCTTCCTGCACAAAACCTTCATGCAGATATTTCGGTCTAAGGCGGCAAAAGTTATCTAATAACCCGAGAATGATCGTCTACCGTGATAGGCCAGCTATCTGTCCCAACGAGACCTTAGACACTTTTACTTTTGACCTGGTTGTGTAGTAAAATAACTTATCTGGAATCCAGATATTCGCGAGTTCTTTCTTATTTCTCAGCCTCATGTTCATTCTAGCTTCCTTCTTTCTGAGGCGTATCGTGCACTCCAAGTGGGTAGCCGTTCAGGGAACCAAGCTTGATGGGTTTTCAGAATTAAGCGGAACGATCCATCTGCGAAAGTATCATGCCTCACATAGAAGCTGTCATTCCCGATTCAAGCAAATTTTTGGATCAATTCATTTTCCAGATTCGATGTCACCTGTGAGGTCGCAGGTAGTTACAGCCATTGACCACATATTATGACGATGCGAGCACCAGAATCCCATCTCATCCTGAAAAAAGACCGTCCTAACACTACCAGCCGGTCGGATCATTGCACCCCAACTTCACTAGCTGCCCCGACGTCTGTTGTGATTTATCACCCGTGGAAACATTCAGCGGTGTGCTTTTCCTAGACTAAGCAGCATATTCAGGTTTCTTTTCTCAACAATTCTTATGTAAAGTTCATTTGGCTTGTCTTTTAAACTCACCCAACGCGTAACCTTGTATTGCATACTTTCGTTGTAACACTCATTTACCATACTTAATTCCCTCTCAAACTAAACCTTTATGTATGTTTAACCGAACAAATTTTAACTGGTCTACTCGTAGAGAGCCTGACGCTGCAGAATTATCCCAGAATTACAACTTAAGTATAGTGGTTTATTGAACGCCCAGAGTTGATTTTCCTAGTCCGCAATCTAGTCCATGAATAAATGTCCTGTCCACAAAAGTGATGTGCTATAATTTATTTTAGCAGCGATTAATTATCAAAAGACGGTCATTCTGTTGTAAGATTCTACATTACCGTAAGGTGATCGGTCTTCCAAACCTCAACCGCAGGCATCTTGGTTACGCAGGTACTGGCAGTCTGTGATCTGTTATAAGTCGTAAAAAGGAACCTGCCTGTTTGGCACCTGGCCTTCCCAAAATACTGTCCGTCCGTCCGCTACGCCTCTACAAAGCAGGCAACTGGCCAATAGGAAGGCTTCTGTTGCCAATCTTATCATTGGGGTCGTTTTCGTCAGTGCCCAACCCAGAAAAGCATATTGAAAACCGTGTCCTGCGAAATGAATAAAAACTATATCATTGTTAAACTGCCGTTCACGGAAGCGGCTCACTATTGATAACGCACGATCCTCTTAGTCATACTCCCATCATATTCCACGTACTCCATCAAATAGGTTGACCCGCGCGCAAATTTCCTTACTTTTCCATGTAGTTATCGAAGCATTTACATTGCAGAACTAGTTTGCCTGGATTATGTTCTGTTTCATGGGGATTAATTCAATCTTCCCATTTTGAGCCCTTATTTCCCTGTCGACATTGCTTCCACTCCCTGTCAGAACTCTTCTTCACAATTTTAGTGCTACTTTGTCTGACTTATTTTTTCATTTGACTGATATCTGTTACGTGCCCTCTCCCCCGGTGCAGGTGATCTCTCTTCAAAATGAGGCAGATAAACTGAAGAAGGAAAATGACAGGTTGAATGAGGAGCTCAAGCAGTCTCTGGAACACACGATCGAGCTGAAGGAGCAAGTCGACGCCGCCCTGGGTGCCGATCAGATGGTCAGCGTACTCACTCAAAAGAACCTTGAGCTTGAGGAAAAAATGCAACA